CTTCTTTTCTTCGGGAGCCAATTTCTTCGAATCGTCGGGACACTCCTTCTTTACCTTGGCCAAATTAGTGCCACCTTGCGCTTCCAAGAATTGATCAGCCAATTCAAGCATGTCTTCAAGTGAGTCAGCCTTCCTCTCTTTTAAGTACAGTGACAGGCTTGGGTGGCAACTAGTAAGAAATTGTTCTCTAATTAGCAGCTCTCTAAGCTCATCGTACTCCTGCGCTGTCCCTGAAAGTTCAATCCATCTGTCGAAATAATGACAAAGTCGGGCGGCATACTGCGTAGCCGTCTCACCATCAGCTGGCTTTCCTGTCCGAAATCTGTCCCGGAATCCTTCCACGGTAAATCTAAATCGCTTCAGCAAAGCAGCTTTCACCTTTGCATAGTTGGCTGCATCGGTCGGCGTCAGCCTACCGTACACACTGAGCGCTTCACCACTCAAGCAAGTACTCAAAGCAGTTGCCCATTGATGTTCTGGCCAATTCTGGCTCTTCGAAATCGTCTCGAATCGGTGAAGGTACGCGTCAAGGTCGTCCTTCCTATCATCAAACGCCACGAGCAGCTTGCTTGGGTTCAAGCGGAAGCCATGATCTTCCCGTTCACTGCTTTCAACTCTAGGTTGGACGGGAGTTTCACTTCGCTGTTGCAAACGGAGTCGCTCGAGTTCTATCTCGTGCTGTCGCTGCCGTTCCCTTTCCTCTCTTTCTTCTTTCAGCTGTCGCTCCTTTGCCTCTCTTTCTTCTCTCGCCCTCTCAGCGGCCAGCTTTTCTCTCTCCAGCTCCAACTTCACCTGCTGCTCTCTTTCTTCTTTCAGCTGTCGCTCCCTTGCCTCTCTTTCTTCTTTCGCCCTTTCAGCTGCCAACCTCTCTCGCTCCACCGCCTCTTTCTCCTTCTGGCTTACCCACTTCCGTAGTTCGGCGCCAGAAAGACCCATCTTCTCACCAAGAGCGACTAACTTTTCGAGATCCATTGTGTCTCGCAACTCGCAAATAAAACCTTTCCGCGTGCAAAAAGTATCTGCCCAAATCAGTCTATCGGAACACTCCCCTGCACTCGTTAACGAGAACACTGAACAACACACAAAATCGTTCCGATAGCACTATCAACAACTCGAGGCTCTTTCTCACTACTTTGGACACACTGTGCACCAAAAGGTCCTGTCGCGGACGCCAGATTAATTGTCACACCTGTCCCGTTATTAGGGAGGCGATCGCCGGGCTAGTTCCAAGAGCCGAAGTATCGGCCCCCCCGAACCGCACCACGAAAGCGTGGACAATTTAGAAGTGGTCCTTATTGGTGCGCCAGCGGACGCCGGCTGTGGCCCAAAGAACAAGTCAGAGTCGAGAGTTGATAAACAAAACAAATATTATTTTCTCAAAAATGGCAGATCGAAAACAATACACATGAATGCACACTCCACAATAGTTACATACAATACGTCACCAATCAGACAACGTACTACACAGTACAATCAGCCACACTCAAAACAACTGACACAGACAACAATACGCACTACAATGCAGTCGCATGCATTGAACAACCAAGACACTTAAGGACTAAAGAGATAGAAAACCTATTCAGTCCAAAGTCCTTGGAACAAAAGTCTGAATGATACTCTTCCGAGAATCACTCGCTCAAAGTCCAGCGTTGTTGTCGTTCCGTAGTTCTCGAAGTTTCTCTTCCAGGAAACCTCGCGTCCTCAAATGGCCACTCTCCAAGCTTCAAACTTCTTCGCCGGAAATCCGTCGGCTTCACACACGCAGCTGTTGCCCGCGTCTTCGCTCGATAGCGGTAAACCCACGCCACGCTCTTGCCTGTAGCTCGAGCCGTCCCTACGGACCAAAAACTTCGCCGACTACACGGCGGACTCTCTACGCACTCTGGCGCTCACTTCCGTCTCCTCCTGATTTCTCGTCTCGGCTGCTCGGTTAAATACCTTGCGCGCGACTTTCCAGATGTTTCTCGTCATTTCGTCGGCGCGATTCGCAGCGAAGGCTGGGGAGAGGCACGAGACGGTTCGACTGCCCTCTCCGGAGGATGATTCACTCGGTCTGACCCCGCCTCCTTCGTTCTAGAAAAATCGCGGCCTTGCTGGGCCGCCGATGTGGGGTGAGGAGGATCGTCTGCGAAGCCGTGCTTCTGCGGGGAGAGCGCGCGCCCGGGGGCCCTGGATGTTTGCTTTCTTTTTTTTTTCTTTTTACCTCGCGGCGTTTCTGCCGCCCGTTGTCGCAAGGATTTGGCGGCGCGCTCTTTTTTAGCGCTCGTTCTGTGACAGCCAGCATAACGATCCTCGTGAATGCTTTGTGACCCGTTATTGCACAGTGCAGTATAGATTGATTCCTCGATCTAGAGATGTGAAAAAATTTCGCTATTTATATTCAGCCTTCGCGGGCGGCTCGAGATGTCTTTCAATGTAGAAGTTTTTTATTGTAGAGCTTTTCGATGTAGAGCTTTGGGCCAGAGAGCTCGCCATTTACATAACGTAAATAAACCATGTGTGAAGTTCACCTTCTTCTTTCCTCGAGATCTTTATCCTGGATCTCCGGTGCCTACCAAGGCCGGTCGCAACAAGGGCTTGCTTCTTTTGTTAGACAGAGCAATTATGAGAACGAACAGACTACGTCAAAGAAAGCATAGAGGATGGTATTAGGAGTATCTCTAAACAATGTAACCACCAACACAGAATTATGGAAGAAAAGTTAACTTGCATTGGGCAGGAACTGAACCTGCGTCCTTCGAATAACCCGTTCGATGCTCTACCAACTCAACAACCACAGCGGCTATACCCCCGTCTACTTTATGGGGTATGTGTGTGCAGTTAAACGTGGGAGCGTGAGTCATCGCTCCATGTGGCCATTGAGGCGAGTGTGGGTCATTCTTAATTGCATTTTGGCGTCACATACCACGTGGTCTCATTACGAGCCTGCAGCTGACCACCATTCCCGCTTATACCACCCGAAGGCATTAAGTGAGCCTGAACGAGCCCCTCGCTCTGAATAAAGGAGTGGAGGCTACATTTAAGAGCTCGTTTTCTTTGTTACAAACAGCATTCATGAGAACTCACAAACAAATATGTCAAAGAAGGTATAGAGGATGTTATTAAAGTAATTGTGGTGTAACTGTAAAGAAAGAAAAGCGGATGTTCAACCTTGCGACCTTTGAATAACGCTTCCGATGCTCTACTAACTAAGCTACCACGGTGGATATGCCCCCGTTCAGATAATGGGGTGGGTATGTGCATTTAGGTAGAATTGAGAACTGGGCAAAGTGGAAAAAATTCTTAGCTGGTCGAGGTAAACAGCGCAAAAATGAAGACAGAGTAAACAAACATGGTCGTGCTATGAAAAACTTTTATTCTGTTTCAATTTTTTTCGCTCTTTACCTCGACCAGCTATGTGCATTCAAACGTGGAAACGTAGGTTAGCGACGTCTGTTGCCATTGAGGTAAGTGTGGGAGAACCGAGAGAATGAGGAGTATCAATATTACCGCAATAGCGCACTATAAAACTACACTTATTACTTGAAGGAGGCACTGCAGTTCATACATCAACTTGCTATATAACGTGTCAGGACGTGCTGCAAAGCACATTGTTCTGAAGATTTGAAGAGCGGGTAGGCGTTGACGCTTGTTCTTTACTAATCTGTCCTTTTGCATATTTGCGATTTCTGGCCAACAGAAATTAGTGGTGTGCTGCAGGCAGTGATAATATATAGTTCATTTCGGCTTGTGACCGCTAAATAAGTTGTCAATATGCCTGCTCATTGCAAACATATGTCAAGGCTAAGCCTCTTTCTTCATGGGCTTACCCCCTGGTGGATTCGTGGCGATGGTTTTCTGCTGCTGACCCCAAAGTCGCAGCCTCGATCCGGGCTGCCGATGTGGGATCCGAATGTAGGCGATATGGTAGACGCGCGTGTACTGTGGGGTGACAGTGGACCTTAAAAAAGAACAGATGGTCCAAATTTCCGAAGCCCTCCACTACAGCGTCTCTTACAATCTCGTGGTGGAATTAAGACGTAAAACTCCACATATTAATTTTATTACTTCTACTCAAGGGTAGGGCGCGTAAAGGCGTTCTAGTTGTACATACATGAACTTTCGATTCTGTTGGCAAGTGTCCAATTATGTTAACAACCACTCTGATATTATGCCAATAACGATATTTAAATTGAGGGCTAAACGAAAGCTACAGAAAAATTACAATGATAAGTGTCGACTATTGTTCTTATATTATAGGTAAATGACTGATTTGCAAGCGATGCCTTGGTAGGCAGTAACCATGCCCCAGAAAAAACTTGTGACACATGTTTGTTGAGGACGCTATGTGGCTTTATAGAAACCAGTGTTGTTATTTGTTGCAGTAAGGTCAATGAAATATAATGGCAAAGAGGTTATTGACGTTAAGTTTGATACGTGTTGACCTTTAAAAAATAAGCTAGTAAAATACGCTGAATGATAATGTGCTAATTTGTAGATTATCCTAAGTTGATAGCTGCTACAATTTTTCACACTCTGCACACGAGGAAAAATCATTAATTTGAGGTCCCTCACAGTGAAATTTATATTATTTTCGGGAGGTTTTTGCGTCTAAAGAAGCAGATTTTAATTGTCAGAAGCACCTAACTGAACGGCTTCAGAATATTGTAAGTCTAAGGCGTTCTAATGCGCCCATGAATCTAAGCAAACTGGCCGCTAGCAGTTTCCTTCCGTGGACATGTGGGGGCCGCTATAGCATTTTTATTCTGTGACATTTAAGTCAGCAGTAGATGACACGCTCCTTGAGAGGCGCAAATTGATCGAATTACCCTTTTCTAATAACAATACCTTAGTCAGCAGATACTCCTTACACCTGCCAACTCATTGTAAGATAATTGAATTAGTTGACTATAACCGTGCAAGCATAGAAACGTTGGTATTGATCTGGTTAAGAAAAACATGAGGTCATTTTTTACGTCACGCATTACCCCGCCCACAATCGTTAGCATATATTGCAGTTCTGTCTGCAGCATACTTCACCATCAAGGCGTTCTTGCTTCTCACGTCCAATTCATTGCTTAGTTTTTGACTGTGGTGAACCCAAAAGTAAGTATCGTTTTGTGCTCGTGGAAAAAAGTTCTCATTGCTCCTACTGCTTCTTTTTCGTAATATATTTGCGTATAAGCGATACTATAAACAAATTATTTATGTTCCGCCTAGCAGGCTGTGACCGCTATCAACATATCTTTATCAATGTATTTATCTTTTTTACTTATTTATTTGCTCATGTAATCTAAAGACACGAGGGCATTTTGGGGGGGGGGTAGTAACAAGCAGACACAAAATTGATATTAACAACAAATCAAGAAAGGCTTGAAGAAAATACTGTATCAATTCAAAAAAATGATGGAAAACTAATTATAAAAACACTTCTCTGAAAAGGAAGTGTTGGACAAGAACAAATCAGACAAGAACAGAAGTCCTGAGATCGAGAATACAGCGGAATAAATAAAGCACTTTTTAACCACATGCACACCTGAGGCAGTTTTTTGAAATCACTCATACCCCACAGTGAAACTTCATTTTTTGTGAGCGAAATTTTGGTGGTTATTTACACAAACACTATGGTTCGGCGTTGGTTCCAATGATCAAGAGCAAGAAGTAATGGTGAATAGAATAACAGGTTTGTTGGGGCCACTGGCGGCTCTAATTCGGCTTCATAGTCCAGACGAGTGATTATTCAATGGGCATGTTCTGAAAGGGCACAACTGCAAATTCTTGTGACAGAGATTGAGAATGAGAAACATAAGTGAGAACAAATTTTGGGTTTGCAATGATGGCAACTTTAGAACAATTTTTAATTTCAATTATGCTAGTAAATGGAGAGTAATTCTTTATGGTGAAACGGGTGCTTTTGTTTTCAAGGCGCTATGTTTTATATAAGATGTAGGCCTGGTAGGGGCTCCATATTTGGGAAGCATGCTCAAGTTTAGATTGTAATACAGTATTTTAAGTTAAAAGTTTAGTAAGGTGCGTCTGATGAATACAAGTGTCTTTTAAACGCTGCTTGTGATAGTGCTAAGGTGTATGTTCTGTGGGAAGTCTCTCGTTAAATGAACACCCGAAAACTTAGAATTGGATGCATTTTCAGCTGGTTTCGCATTAAGAAGCACTTTGAATATGTAGTGATTACTTGGTGGGTTTTGTTTTGTAGTGAATGAAACGACTCATGTTTTGTTCACGTTGACTTCCATCTAACCATTTACTTAACACATTGAGATCAATTCGCAAGTTATCATCACCTTCACTGTTAGCCGCCTTTTGGTATATCATGAAGTCGTCGGCGAATAATTTTACCTTGGAAATCATAAAGTTAGCTGTCTCACTAATGTAAACTAGAAATAAAATCGGCCGCAGCTCAGATCATCCAGACACTCCTGATTTGTCGTGTGCAAAGGAGAGTGTTCGTCCTTTACAAAAACTGATTGGCCCCGGGTGATTAGGAATTCCGAAATCCCAATGACAACGTGAGGGTTTGTGATAAGCGTGGTAAGCTTTTCTATTAGTCTGACATGGGAGACATTTTCAGAGGCTTTTATGACATCAACACAAACGGCAAGATCTGGTATCTATCATATACAGAATTATAAATGTCAGTAATTAACTCAAACAATAGTGTCTCCCAAATTGGACCATGCAGGAAGCCATTTTAGTTGGTAAAATACATTTTATCCTAAGTAATTCATGGTTGCTGGTGAAATATTGTGCTCAAGCAGTTTGCTGCGATACTGGTTAGGGATATTGACCCGTTGTTAGTTGGGTTAAAAAAGTCTGCGGACTTGAATGTAAGTGGGCTAGCTTTCAATTGTCGGCTACACAACCTGTGCTGAAGTAGTGTTTGAATACAGGACTCAACAAAGGATATAAGTCTACCTTCATTATCTTGAGCAGTTTCAGGCATATCTCGTCCGTACATGCTGCAGAGTTTGCGGAAAGGCGATCAATGGCTTCTGCGACGCCTTGTGTAGTGAAAAAAATGTCTAGCAAATGGTAAGATAAAAACGTAGCAGGTGGTTTATGTGACTATATATATTCATTCGTAGACACAGAGCTAAAAAAAATAATAAATTCAGGCCCAGTGCCTTATCTGGAAATAGCTTTCCATCTGTCGCTATGTATCTTGGGGACTTCAAGCCGTAATTAGGACGCACACAAGCTCCCAAAAATTTCTTACCATTGCTTCTTAAAATGTTTCACATATCATAGTTAACATTCATCTTCGGCTGTTTTCTTTCGGTGCGACATACTTAGGCGTGTTTACGGTAACGCTGCCAGTTGTTTTCAGATGTTGTCAATTTCGCTCGTGAGTACAATCGTTTTCTTTTGCTCATACAAAATTTTGCGTGACTCGTAAACCACGTGCTATGCGTATGCGGCTATAGTGACTTCAGCAAAATATTTTCCTATCAGTGAGATAAGTTTATTGAGGAAAAGTTTTTGCTTGCACCACGGTCACTAACCGAGCTCAAGAAATCAACAGAAAAATAGTGGGTTGGATTGACATCGCGTAAGTATTTGTTCAGCCGTAGTGAAAGAGTTTCCTTTGTATCACGTGTTTTTTTTCTTACTGTTTAAAATACACAGTTTAAGTATTTCAATAATTTTAACTCATACTGCAAGCCACAGGATAACGCATAACAACACCAACTCTGGGTTGAAATAAATGAGCAACTTAAAATACGGAACACCGTTCACCGAATCAATTGAACAATCTATTTCGCCAAAAGGGGTGTGCAAGGCTGCTACTTGATTTACATAGCCCTAATATCCTTGAGAGCCGCAGTTTGATGATCAAGATGAAAGGAATGAAGGGCATTTATTTCATTTACTTACAGACATACTGCAGGCCACATGGCCCAAGCAGGAGTGCAAATACAAAAAGTCAAAACATTGAAAAAAAGCAAGGTAACAAGCAATCATACTAACAGAATTTGAAAAAAATAAAGTAATGAAAATAATGAAAGCAAATACCAAATGACTGCAATTATCGTTTTAAACGCGATAACGGTAAAGAGCTCAATATGCAGAAACTCTAGCATTGATATTGGTGTCGGCGTCGTTGGTTGTGAGCGAAAAATTTATCATCATTGCGTGACCAAAAAATCTGGAGAGATGACAATAAAAAAAAAAGCCCTGGGTGCCAGTGTCTATCGAACCCGGGTCAAGTAGGTCTGAGTTGGGATCGCACCCAGGTCGTTTGAGCGGCAAGCGAGCGTTCCGCCACACAGCCATGTCTGTTTTTTTTTCTTTCATGGCATTGATACAACGTGTATTTTAAATTGTAACATTGACGTAGTCATACAATGCATCAGGGACAATAATCTCACAATTACTACCGAAGTATTCCAAGTCTTATATACATATACGCTTAGCTATTCCAAAAAAAGAAAAGAAAAGAACATAAGTCATTAAAAGGGCTGGTAAGAATGAACACCTCATCAAGGTGGGGCGTCACACAGATTGAAAGTCAAATTGTTCATAAATATTGGTTAGCTGAAGAGCCATACGCATGAAATGAAAACTTGAAGCAGCCTGCTTGTGAACACTGTGAAGTTCCTCTGCCTGGAAATGTATATAAGCTTCCCGACACATCATAAAATATTCCCGCAATATTGCATGGTAAAAGCGTACATTGCCATGGGGCGTCAGAACTTAAGATTTACTAGAATTATTTCATAGTTTAAAGCGAGTAACTCACTACAAAAGGCCTGGCCCACATGGCACTGAACCATCAAGGTCCAGTAGTGGGTGAATACAAAGTTTGAAAACCTTTCATACACTACGTCTTTGAACCACGTAATAGCAACAGAATATAGCTGTCACATATAACTCTTATAGGCGAAAATTAAAGTTCCGCCAATTTTCGACAATTGCTCACTAGATGGCGTCGTCTATAAAAATATTTTTTGCATAAGCTCGGCGTCGTCGCACGTATTTTTTGAATATTTGCAATGCCCCACGAACTACAGGTGGTGTGCTGCACGATTCAAGACCACCCGCTATGGAGGGACCACCCATTTGTTAGCGTAAGCTCAAACAGTAGGTGCAGATGCACAGCCCGTGGTACTTTCCACACATAATATGATTAACATCACGGAAGACTGGTTAAGACTGGAAGATTGGTTAAGACTGGTTGCTTGCTGGGCTAGTGGTTCGACGATAGTTATAGCGCAAGAACGAAACGACGACACAGAGACAAGAAGGACACGAAAGTCTCTGTGTCGTTGTTTTGTTCTTGCGCTGTAACTATCGTCATGCCATACCAACTAGCCCAAGCTGCCACACTTCTAAGCTAGTGGTTCAATTCAACCTATTTAACAGCACATAAAACTGAAAAGACGATATGGACAGATTTTTAACAGCACTGACTCTCAACTGCTTTACTCTACAGAAGATACATGCGCAGAGACACCGGGTAAAGCTGAGAAATAAAGCAAGAAAAAAAAGCAAAGTCGCTGCGTTTTAAGGCAGGGAACGCAGGATCTCAGGCGCATCACGGCACGCTGTAGGTAGACGGGAAATGGTGCCTGCTGACGGCTTGCATGTACTTGACTCAGAACATCTTGCTCTTGTTGCATGGTCTCAGCGTATCGTTATTTTAGCTTGCCAATAAATACGTAAAGTGTGGCTAGGAATGGCTGCAGAACTCTGACGATCGCTTTGTCTTCTTCAGACAAATGAACAGCCACTGAATCAGTATCCACTGTGGCTGATGTGCTCTGTGACTCAGCATGTCTGCTGCGACTTTGGCAACGATGACCAAGCTGCATGAATTGTGTACATACGTTTCTTCGTGTTCTCGCTTACGCCGCCTGTCCTTCATTCGTCAGAATTCGATTTCGGCAATGTAGGCCAATTGAAATTCGCCCCAGCCGGATTCTGTGTGACGGACGCGAAGCTGAAGAGCACAAAAAAACGTAATAGACGGAAACTGAGGACACTCCAGCTTACACTACGGTAACTGCAGTGATAAGCCAACGCAGTGGCGTACTGAGCTTTGCAAACCTGAGTTCGATAAACCTGACATTGTTTAACGCCACAGAGAGCAGTGCGTCAGGAAAACAGCTAAGAAGGTAGAGATTGCCTATGTGGGAGAGTGATAAGTCAGCACGCAATCACTTGCATTGACCAAGCAGGAGGAAGGATTTTTAGAAAAATGGTAGTTAAGACTTGTTGGTGTAACCCATTTCTTTACATGTTGATTGTTTTTTTCTGGCTTTATTTGTTTTCCTCGGCCCGTAAGCTCTGCGCATATGTTTATACCAAGTATTGACAGTGCAATAAAGCAGTTGGAAGATTATTTAGACTCCAACCAAAAGTTTTGATTGATTGATATGTGGGGTTTAAACGTCCCAAAACCACCATATGATTATGAGAGACGCCGTAGTGGAGGGCTCCGGAAATTTCGACCACCTGGGGTTCTTTAACGTGCACCCAAATCTGAGCACACGGGCCTACAACAACCAAAAGTTTTGAAGAAACCCGACGTTTCGAAACCGACTTGATTCCTTCTTAAGGGGTGACTACGGAGACTAAGTAGCAGCGGCGTCTTCAAACCACTCGCGGGGCGGATAATGACCCCTCATTCTTTCTCGTTTTGCCGTGGCACGCAGTTCATATGTATACACTGGGGGAAGAGTTCCGAGAGAGCGGTTGACGTTATGGGCTGTCGTCTGTATGTGCCACGATTCGAGTAATAGCAATCTCCTCCAGTTTGACTCGCTTTCAAGGATGGCCGTCGCTTCGAAATTTATCTGGTGATCCAATGTCTACCCAACCAGACAGACTTCTGTCGAATGTTTACATTCAATAAAGCAGTTGGATGTCACCGCCATTTACTGTCGGTTCGTGCCGTGTTTTCCAGCTTTAGCGCTGTTACATATGTTGGATATGAAATCAGAATACTTTTTTTCTGCGAGAGGGATAATTTGGCTCCGTCATAGTGCGTCCACAATGTTTTACGAAATCTTGTGCATGCTACAGAAAACGTATGAACTGAATTCATGCGTTTACGCACTGTGCCTGCCTGTCAGATCTGCCGTAGTGAGGAGTCGCTTGCAAGTAGCACCATCGTTGCTGGTCATCACCGCATAATTAGCGTGATGATTGTTACAAAACATTTATCCGAAATGATTAGTTGCGTGGAAAGGAACGGGGAGTGCACAGTTCCCTTCCAACGGTTCATACAACATCAATCAGTACCTCGAAAGCAATGCACAGGGAAGCTTTTCGCAACATTTAATAATTTCCGACCAACGACACAGTGTCCCTACAGTGACGGTCGTGTTTGTTCGGCAACATAACAGCAGAGCTTCTGTGATGCGATTGCACGTTTTACTTCCAGTCGTCCAGTTTGTTGGCAGCATGCGGCCAAGGAAGTGGCCGTACGTGCACAGCAACAAAATATTATGCCTTCATTTTGAACCCAAAGTAATGTGCATGAAGTGCAATCTGATTATGAAAAGCTTGCCGTACAGATGGTTAACCAGCAAAGCACGCTAAAGAAAATCACGGGGGCGGCGCGTTTCTGAAAGCTATCGTTAGTATTGTTTTCGCAGCCTTCAAAGTTCACCAGAAAATCATCCTCGTCTTTTTGAAAATCACCATAAAATGTAATCTCAAGATGCTCGTCCCTCAAAAGCCACCGCGCACTCTTCACGTTTGGATACAGAAGACACTTTGGATGCAGCGCTTGTAGTGTGCTGCCATCTATCAAAGTAACTAACATGCAGTGCAGCACTCGATATAGAAACAACACAAAAACTCAATAACCTCCATTTCAAAATGTTCTCAGTTAACCAATGTAGACAACTGAAAACTTTTCTTTGATATCAATGATGTCTGGCTCTTTCAGTAGATACTTATTCATCCAATTTCTTTATAGGAATAATTCACAAGGATAACTATTTCTGGTAATGTTCTTTTGGCTAGTATTTAAAATATATATTCCTTTTTGTTAAGCTACCAAATTCTTGGCCTATACCCCTTGGTGGGTGTGAGCCACAAGTTTAGGATCTACATCTACATCTACATCAAATTTCGCAGGCTTGGGTTAACTAACGTGGATATACACACATTTCATTCATCAATCTATAAATGTTAGCCTCCGTAAGGATGCGTCAGCTGCGGACATGACAGAACCAGCAACCTGGCTCGTAGGTGGTCATCGTTGACAATAGCCGTGGAGTCAGCCCAGCCCCAAATCTGTGCATCGTCACTCGAAATATTCATGCAGCTATTAGATGACACATCACAAGACGTATAGGTTTAGTGTATCTTCAATTTATTACGAGGGTCCTAATAATGTTCATTTATTGAAGAGCATGTAGCAAGCTCGTTCAGCACGCCGTGTAAAAGTATAGGTTACATCCGCTACCAAAATAAAAAAAACGATGGATATATATATTTACGTGAAAAAGCGCGAGGATCGGTAAAAACAGACAGGAACTAATATTCACCAATATGTGTGGCCAAGGGAAACTTGGTAGAGCTGTAATTTTTAAGCTATGTGTCATCATTTGTAAGTGTATAGTGACGTGAAAATTCACTCCGAACTGGCTTTCTTTTCAGGAAATAGGAATCATGAAGTTTGTTTTTCATGGCACTCTATTATTATTCGCCATAGTGTGCTTCATCACCTTGGAAGATACTTTTGCACTGGAGAGACGTAATGCAAGAGGTACGCATTTGTATATTTTCATAATTATACGGCAAGTCTAAATAAAGCATGATGCAAATGTCTGCTTAAGTACCAAGTTGTTGTTAGATTTTAGATTAATTTAGATAATAGCTCGTAATATTGTGAGCTTCGAAGATACCCTAAATAAATAAAAAAAACCTATGGTACCAGCACACTATTTAGACTTTGCAGTTGTCCACAAAATGTGTTGATGTGGCTTCTGTCACAGATAAAATATCATACATAAAAGTGCCTTCTTTCAATGGTTTATAGGACCAACGAATGTACTACGTGCTCAGGTAAATTGTTATAAGCAACGATAAGTCTCTCGCAGAGCATTCATAATTTTATTTACAATAGATTATAAGAACAGGTGCAATACACGTGCTAACGCGTCACTCTATAGCCAAGCGCTAGTGGACGAAACGCTAGTGTTTGGTTGATGTCACTCCTGTCAGAAAATTAGATAAGCCTGCCAATTTACAACCTCACCAATATAAGCGTAATGCAGCTAGGCTTATAACGCAATACCTTGCCAAGACCTCACCCTCAGCGACGCTAGAGCAAAGACGACGTACACTGCTCACCACCGTGTATCAAGGGCACCGTCAATGCAAGCTGTTGCGATGATCACGCAAACTCTCCCTGCTTTCTCGCCCAAAGGCATCGCGGAGTTACAAGGATACACGCGCCCTCTTTTCCCGTGTAGAATATAGTTACCCCAACAGGTGATAAAAAGAGTAAAGAGGGAGAAAGAAATAATCAAAGAAATAGAGAGAAAGAAAGAAGAAAAGAAAGATCATTGTTAAGTAAGAAAAACGGAGAAAAATTTCAAAACCGGATGAACTGCATCTGAGTGTGAGCGTCGTAAGCACTCGCCTCTCCCCAAATGGTGATAAAGCATAGCATGGCCTTGTGAAGTACATTGATTGATTTGTGGGGTTTAACCTCCCGAAACCACCATATGATTATGAGAGACGCCGTAGTGGAGGGCTCAAGAAATTTTGACCACCTGGGGTTCTTTAACGTGCACCCAAATCTCAGCACACGGGCCTACAATTCCGCCTCCATCAGAAATGCAGCAGCCGCAGCCGGGATTTGAACCCGCGACCTGCGGGTCAGCAGCCGAGTACCTTAGCCACTAGACCACCACGGCGGGGCACCTTGTCAAGTACAGTGCAGCAAGAAAGTGTAAAAGGAAAGTGAGCGAGAGGAAGATATCAGTGATAAGGAGAGAGAGTAAAGCATTGCAAAGAAAGAATTAGCAAGAGAAATAGAGAGAATAAAATGTAGAAAGAGAAAAAAAGGGCAATTCCCAGAAAGAGGCCGACAAAAACAATGTAAGAGATACAGAAAAATGAATAACAGGAAAAGGCAGAAACGAGGAGTGAGGAAGAAAAACAGCTTGAGAGACAGAGAGAGATAAACACAAATACTTAAAAAACGGGAAAACAGAGAGAACATAAAAAAGCGAATAAGTAAAGAATTAAAATATGGGCAGAATGCCTTGAAAACAGCAACTGCCAGGGTGAGATAGATGTCTATCAGTACCGCTCTCTCTTTAACGTTCCACCTCATGTGCAAGCAAGGTGAGTAACTATTTAGAGGTACTTGTACGTAGGGCTTGTAATGACAGTACTAAAACGAGAGTGTGCCGCAGGCAATGTGACACAACAATTTTTTTTTCCTTTTTATATAATCAACCGATGAAATGCGAGCCGTCTGTCGTGAGGTCTGTCGGAATGTGATGCGGCGTGCTCTCATCTGTTGTCGCGGCTCCATGAAGTAGAAAACATTCTTGGCTAACAAGGATGACGAAGCTTTTTCCGAACGCTTAATAACGGCACCCTGAAAGCGTGAGAACAGAAGCGGAAAGTATTTCACGAGAGTGTTTTGTCTGTAACATTAAAAGTTTACAAGAATTTGTTTGGACAGCCCTGTATCCACTAAGCATATAAACCGTTTTTATGCAACAGCGCACCTTAGGACACGTGTTCTTTTCTTTACCCAAAGTCTCTTGTTTCAGCAATGCAGTCGCTGTAACACGTATTGATTCCACTTTAAACAGATACCTCGTTACAGAGACTTTCGGTGTGCTTCGTAGGTTTACACTCCTTCGATTCATGGCTCACTTCATAACAATCAGTTTCGTCTCATTGATTGGCCCGTGTGTATACAGCTTCAAAAATAATTTGAATAAGAACTGTTAATTTATAAGGGATTCAATGTGTCTCACAACCTCAACAAGAACATGGAAATTTTATTCTTAGAGGCAGAACACAACGAGATTGAGGTAAATATCGAAGAAATATTTCCAATATACTTCGTTCTAGACATGTAGGTCGCATTAGGTCCGTCAAAAAACCGCACATCTTAGGAATAAATTTATTTCATTCGCAATGTGTTACATGAAATCTGCAGGGCGTACTCGAGGCTGTTTTGCTAGATATATATATACACCAAAATTTCTATTGTCCACCGTGGCTGTGCAACGAACATAATTAAAATTTGGTAAAATAAAATATTACAAGTTTAGCGAAGTACAGCACGACTTGGATGTCTTGCTAATCTTGCGCTCGTGGCCTGCTCTCTTGGTCGCTGTACGTTGAAGTTGAAATGGCCCGATGTGACTATATCACGCAAACAAATAGCAATTTCTGACATGAAAATTATGACATGGATCACATGTACAACGTAATTTACATGCTGTGCTCTTGGCACGCTCGCGGTAAGCTCACTAACTTGATATACACCAAGGATGAAAGTGCGTGACGTCACCTTATGTCGAACATAAACGACTGATCTTAACATGCAAATCCTTAATTAAAAATCACGTACAACATCGCTTGCTTTTGAGCAGCTGCTGCACATTGCATCAATTTCAGCTGTGTGTAAGATCTGACATTTTTTCGAGGGCCGGATTGTTGCTTATGTATATTAACAGAACGTTAACAAACGCACCATGACTGTTCTCTGTTATGCGCTTATATAATGCGACGGGCATAGAACCAGATTGAGCCATGCCAATGCAAGTATGTGCCATTTTGTGAAAAAGAAGAGGACTGGTTGTGCGCTCGTGGTCTAACGTTCAGTTCGACTGGACGTCCGGCGCTGCTGCTCCTGTGAACAGACGTTGTGGCCTTTCCGCAATCACGTGACATTTTCTGGTGGAGGTGCTGGGTAGTGTTGTATGAACTGCAATGAACAGCAAGATCCCGATACTAGTCGTGACTTGGAATAACCACCTGACCTACGGTGTAGCAGGGGACGACTAGGCCTACCACCTGAATTTAGACCACTCTTACAACTCAACAGAACTATGGCTAGTGCGGGAACGCAAACCCAAAAGACAACGATGTTGCCTCCTCCATGGTTCTTCAACGCCCCGCGAACCCCGAAGCCATTCTACGGAGACCCTTCAAGGACGTCGACGACTGGTTTAACGACTACAACCGTTGCGCCAGCGTTACGAGTGGAACGAGCAACGAAAGCATCGGTATGTCTATTTTTACTTCAAGGACTCTGCGCGCACTTCGTTCGAAAACCATGACCCCGCTATGACAACCTGGCCAGAGTTTTGCAACCAGTTTTGTAATACCTTCCGAAGTTCTGACAGAAAAGAGCAACTGGAACGGCCCCTCAATTACCAAAATCAGCATCCAAACGGGAGTGTTGCCATGTTCGTTGAGGACATGTCGCAGCTGTTCAGGCGAGCTGACTCCTCAATGAGGGAAGAGAAAAAGGTGCGCCTCCTGATGCGGAGAGTGAAAGAGCAGTTGTTCGCTGGACAAGTGCGCAACCCTCCCAGCACTCTAACGGATTTCCTCCGCTAAGCCACGACGATTGAGAGAATGCTAAGGCAGCGTTCGTATCAGTATGAGCGTCCTTGCACTCTTTCGTCAGTGTCATCGGCCTTGCCAACACCTGACGTCACGACTATAAGGGATCTGACGGAGCTCGTGCGCAGTATTGTGCGCGAGCAGCTGCAAAAGCTGCACGTGGTGTCTTCTCAGCCCCATGTTGCTATTTTAACAAATGTTGTTCGCGAAGAGGTCCGGAAACTGGTGCAACCCATGATGACTCTGCGTCCAGCCGAGGTCCAACCCATGATAGCCCCGCGTCCAGCCGAAGCTCCGCGATTAACGTACGTGGAAGCATTACGTACTCCTGCACCGGCTGTTGGCTGTCCGTCCCGTTTGTCCACCGTGCAGACGACGCCGTCATTCTACTCAGGACCACCGCAGTACGGCAACCCACCACTTACACGGAAATCCAGTGTGTGGCGTGCTCCCGACATCCAGCCTCTCTGTTATCGCTGTGGTGAGCCAGGTCACATCTACCATGAGTGTGCATACAGGTACATGGGTCTTCCTGGCTTTCGTCCAGGCGCTCGTCGAACCAGAGATGTTGAGCGACCCGTGCTATTGCCAAATACTTGGCAAGCCAGCAGTCCTCAACGCTTCCGCGTCGCCAATCCTGCTCAACGTCTCTACGCGCTCCATGTCACCTGGTCAACAATCGAGCTTTGTGGACGTCCTTCTAGTAAGATCACCTAGATCCGCAAGCCCGCGCCGGATCGATGGATGGATGGATAGATACAGCTGTACCCTTTAGATTGGGCAGCGGCTAGCGCCACCAAGCAGAAATACTTAATGAACAATAAACTAGATTTATTTTTCCCTTTAAATAGTGAAGTTGAGGATCTGTACTTTCCAGTGAATGGTTTAATTTTCAGTCGTGCCTTGACTTTAACCACCAATCAGATAACCTCCTTCTAGTTAATTCTACCCGCTTAAAGTCTATTTTGCCCTCCCTGTCCCTTAACCCCAGTGCTTTGAAAAACTCTGCGCCATCATCCTTAACTACAGGGTGAAGCCCTTTACAGAACATTATTAAGTGTTAGGCAGTTTCTTCCTCTCCACACGGACTGCATACCGTGTCTACCCCTTCGTATTTGGCTTGATATGTCTTGGTTCGCAGTACTTCCGTCCTGGCCTCAA